AATAGGCAGACGAAGAATAAACAAAAATTGTCTGAGATTTTGGAAAAGTGGGAGACTCAGCATAACATAAAACCCTGGCAACAAAAAGAGGAGAAAACGTCAGGGAGGAGGGAGTGGTGCCAGTGTTAAATGCTGCAGAGAAGTCAAGGAGAAAGAGAACCAGGAAAAAAAATGTGTTTTTAGTAATCTGAGGTCATTTGTGACCTACAAAACTCAATGGAGGAGTGAGGGAGAGATGCAGTTAAATAGCAACGCCACCAGCTTTCTCTGAGACTGAGGCAGGAGTTCAGGACTTAGGAACAGCTTCAGTTGAGTAGTGGGGATGGAGGACTTGTTCAGGAGGATGTGGAGAGAAGAAGGGAGAGGAATGAAGGAGACTGAATTGTCACCACCAAGAGCTTCATGGTCAACTATTATTTTTTTCCCTAAGAAAAGGAAGATGAGTACAGAAGAAGAGGGACTCTTCAGGGGTTGATTGAGAGGATTGGAAGGAGAGTGTACCTGTGAAATCCAGGTGCCTTAACAGTTGTGATGGGACGAGAAAGGGGGCATGAGGAGGGGGGTTAGACTTTGGGGGACTGAGGAGATAAGGGAGAAGGGGCGCTGTGGGTGGGCTTGCTGCCGTTGTCTTTGGTGATTGGAACAGTTGCTTGAAGCCAGAGAATGTGTCGGCTTGGTCTGCATGCTTTGGCTCTCCTGTCTTCCCCACTTCCCTTCCACGGGATTCTTCCTTCTGATTGACTTAATTTTGATTTTTTTTTCTAATTAGACCTTAACATTTATGCATGGTGTTACTATTGAGCTTTCTAGATTTCTCTAAAACTGTTGCCACTATACACGTGCATTTACTATTGGTCTATGTCAGTGTCATCTGTTTTACATTGTAAGGACAAGAACAGGGTCTGTTTAATGTATGCTGTACAGAGCTCATCATACTGCTATGAACATATGGGCAGCTAATTCAATACTACTTAATTACAAAGATCAATAATTACACTTGTATTTGAAGAGCTTCTTTTAAAAATAGATGTATACAGTTGAATATGTCTGTGTGCGTGCGTGCATGTGTGCATAGTGTATTGCCAACTCCGCTGACCAAAGATAATTCGTCCTCCTTGCCACTGAAGAGTTGTTAGGGATTGATTTAATTTTGAATTTTAGTTTATCATGGGCTGAAACTAAATGCTTTGTTTGCATTATTTTATTAAGTCCTTGCAAACATTTGGAGTGATAGGTATTCTGATTCTCATTTCAGAGATGAGGAAATTGTGGCAGAGGCTGCTTAAGAAGCTTGCCCAGGGTCATGCAGCAAGTACAAGTGGCAGAGTGGGAATTGGAACCTGGTGCTCTCTGGCGTGCAATCTTGCCTGCCCTTAATGTCCTCTGTGTTCTCAGGCCAGTGTGCTAACGTGACCAGTCTATTCCTGCTATCATGACTGGGTTGGCCACAACTGTGATCATGCCCACATAAGGTCTTGTTTGCTCTCTATAGCCATAATTCTCCTCTCGTTACAAAGAGGTGGAAAAATGGTTATGGGGAAGTAACACAAATAACGCCTCCTGGTGTCAACCCAGCCTTCATGGGGGACAAAATGCTTAGCAACTCTTTCAAAGTATCCAAGACAAAACTTGACCTTTAAGCAGTTTCTTCATTTAGAGTTAAATTTGTCTTCAACAAATATGGTTTGAATAAACCAAGACCTCCTGTTTTAGCTTTTTAACTGGGAAGGTAATATTTCCAATTTGATTTTAAATTTTTCTTTTCCCAAATTCCGCATGGCAAGGAAAGAAAAAGGAATCCTAAAGTTCTTGATAAAATAAAACTTCCCAGGAAGTACATTGGTATAAGCCATAGCCGTGGTCGTCATAAATGTCACTTTTACTTTCCAAACCAACGTCTGGGGTTTCCATAGTAACTGCTTTTACCCCAGCTGGTTTGCATCACAGTTTTTGTATAGAAGCCAGTGGAGCTGGATCCAGCTATGCCACAAAGTTCAGGTGTCACTATCAAATGGATCTCCTGGGACAAATACCAGAAAAAGAAATATTGCATGCGACAGCCTCTCCCACCCAACCGCTACCTTCCCAAACACGCGCTCTTTGCTACTGTGCTGACCAAGTGCCCGGAGCTTCCCAGGGTCTGCCGTCCTCTCAAAGTCAAACCATTGGCAGCATCCAGCTGTCACTTCTCTCTATGTCGAATTGTGTGCATTGAAAGGGCATCAGAGCCACAGGCTTTTGATTTTCTAATGTTGCACCCATTGGAGTGTTCTTGGGTAATAGTGTTTCATAAGGGTCAGAATGTAAATTTGACAGTCCAGGCCAAATGCAAACTGGAGGAATTGCATATTGCCTTCCTGTGACTCATCCAGGCTTCCAGATGGAAATGATTTCCCAAGGTCACTGCAAAGCTCGGTACAAAGGTGTCTCATATGGAGAACATAAGGCCTGACAGCACAAGTGAAGTTGTGCTGAGGGTCAGGACTTCCTTTCCTGTCCTCACCCTTGACCTTGGAAGAGTGAGCCTGCCCCTGAGAACTTCTCTGCAGTCGTGGGAGAGTCACAAGAACAGCGTGTGCCTTTCCTTCCCCCAGCCCTTCCCACCACCTCCACCCTAGGCCCTGCCCCTGTTTTCTAGGTGTAGTGAAGGAAGGAACTAAGGAAGAAATGTGCCTCCTTCCACCAAATCATTTCCATTTCTTAAAATAAATCTCAGCTTTCCTCTTCTGGGAAGCCACCCCAGAGTGGACTAGGATCTCAAAATATCTTTTATTTACTTTATGCAAGAAACATATTGTGAGCCTACTGGGTGGCGGACGCAAGCAGACCCTGACTTCTAGATGGAGCCAGACAAGTCCTTGAGACCAGTGAGGGGCTGTGATAATTACACAGGCACAGTTGGGAGAGGTGGCTTTTCCATTGTAGGGGGGCAGGGTGTCAAAAAAGACTTCATCAAAGAAGTGACTTGACTAGCATGATCTGTAGCCTTCTAATATATTTATCATGCACATTTCGTAATTATAACATCGGTTTTAAATACATACATCCACGTGCAAATCTGTCTTGCTATCTCCTTAGATTACATAAATCTTGAATGTGAAAACCTGGTCTTTACTATACTGGGTTCAACCTGACTTGCTTAAAATAGAGCTGAGAACATAGTGAGGGTCGTCGTGGCCTTGACGCTGCCTTCAGAACTGCGTGGACAGATGGCAGGATCGCAGGCAGTTTATGTAGGGGACTGGCCCTGTGCAGACCGTGTGCAGACAGCTGAGTGTGCTGTGCCCAGATTGAGAAATGGATTGACAACTAAGCCCACAGGATAGGGGACTTGCATACAGTCCTTTTATTTCCTACCGTTTCTTTGATACCGTGGTACCTACGTTTTACTCGAGATTTCAAACTTTTGAATTACCATGGTTCAGAAGTATGACTTTCAAAGTTTCACACTTGTTTACTGTGTGACTTTGGGCAGGTTCCTTCTCTTCAGGCCTCAACTCTCCTTCAGTAGAATGGCGAGGTTCGCTTTGATGATCATCTGTTAAGCTATAAATTGTATTCTACAGACCTAACCTGAATCAGTCTGCATCAGCTTTGAATCCTCAGGGCCAAAGCACAGCACTAAGTACTGAATAAATATTTGTTGAATCAAATTAAAGAAACTCAAAGTCCAGTCCTACATGTGAGTGATAGCACTAGTCTGCATGAAGAGCATGGAGATCTTGATGGGCTGAGCCATGTTTTCTCTGACTGACAGAATCAAGGGTTTGGGTTTTCTCCCTGTCACAGAGCCTCGTGTAAGCCCCTTCCAGAGCCTGCCTCTCCTGGTGAGGCAGCGCCCTGGACCCTTTTGCTGACATTCTGTATAGATGCATGATTTTATTTCACACCACGGTTCAAAAACGTCTCCAGGAGAATCAGAGATTTTCCAATTAGTGACTCAAACTGAAAGATGGACATTTATAAGGTTCACACCCCGTGTTAACTCAAGAAACCTGATCTCTGTGGGTTTTACATCCCAGGGAGCAGTGATCTGATTGTTTCTGTTGGAGTGAGTCAACTTTTGGGTACTTGAGCTGAAGTGTGATGGGCAAGGTCATAAAGCTGCACCTGAAGCCCTGAAAGGAAACAGTGTATTGAATCTGTTAATTTAATGGTTAAAAATATGGAAGGTGGCCTCCTTGGTGACTTGGATCTTGAAGCTGGTCCTTCAGATGTAGATTCAAGCAAAGGCTGGCCTAGGCCTTGTGTTAAATATTTAAATAGAAAAGGAAAAAAATTCAATTATCCAAAGTAGTTAAATGTGGTCTTGTAAACTAAAGAAGGTCTCCGAGTTTCTTTTGTTGCCAGAAAAGAAAACATGGTGTGAAACATCTGTATGATTGAACGCCTGTCCTAGTTTGTACTCAGTTACTTGGCTTAACTTTACACAGCCTGAGAAACAGGAGTCTTGTATCAGTGTAGACAGCCAACTAGAACAACTCAAGCCAAAAAAAATCTGAATTGTCCTGATTGTATGTTGTAGTGCTTCCAGTGACTTAAAGACGATTCTATTTCCCTGTCCTCCGAGTTGCCTTGATAGAGACTAAAGTAATGTGTTAGGATAGGAATCAAAACCAGCAAGGGTGGGCACACTCTGAGCCATAGATCCATTTTCTCCATATGTGTTAGCTTGTTTGGGTGGGTGTTAGCAGATTCATTGCAAACTTGTTTCAGAAAGCAAACCCTTTCTTCCGGTACTGAAAACATCTCCACTGTGGACGTCAGTCAGCCCTCAGGCTATCTGGTTAGAGTAGCCACCCGCTATTGCAGACTCTTACTTCTCCTTTTAACTGTGTTTTTTCATGTAGATTCCACACCCCGCCTGAAGCTATTTTAATTCTACTTAATCAATTGGAGGCAAAAATAAATCAAAAATCTTTTTAGAGGGGGCTGAAAAGATGCAGGCAGACGCATAGTAAAGGAAGGTGAATGCTATATGCTTTTTTTCTATTCACAAACATACATATTTTCCAGCACTTACGTGCTAAGCCATTTTACAGGTATCTTTGTTTAATAGTCACAGTTCTGTTAGGCCCAGCGAGGTCAAGCCCTCTGCAGGAGTGGCAGGGCTGGGGTTCAGGACCCTCTGACTCAGGAACCAGCCCTTTCCGCCGCACAGCGCTGCCTTCCTGGGCTGGTCATCTGCTTCTCGGCGGCTCTTTGAAACTGCACTGAACTGCCTGAAGCCTGAGGGGACCTGAGCACTTATCTTTGCTATCACCCACAGCAAACACCACTGCTGGCCCCTCCCGCAGAAGGCGAGGGACAGCATCGCCTTCTGAATAACGAGCAGAGATTTTGTTAGAACTTTCTGAGATCTCTTTGTAGTTTAATTTGCAATCTTGGCATGGGAGAGAGGCCACTCATTTGCTCTTACACAATGTGCTTGCAGTTTGGGAAAACAGCTAGGAGGGGAGCAAAGCCACCTCGGTTATGGCCACGTAGCCTAAATAATTTGCTAGACTTCTCTTCGTAAAGCGTTTTTAGTGACATGGCTGCAGTTTGATATTTGCTATTATTTTTGAGAACTGTGGATCATTTGAAATTGTTCTCCTAACACAATGATACAGTGTAAGAACAAAGTCATTAGTCCAGGGGCTCTGGGTAATTTGGTGGACTTTCTCTTTGAGGATATGGAGCAAAGAAAGGTAGAAAGGGACTTTTGCGGTATTAGCGCTTAAAATGATTTATTGGCCAGAGCCGTGCGATTAGACTCATACAGTAGATCAGTAGCGAGTTCATCGCCACGTATGTGGCTCAGCTGAGGAGTGGGAAGATCCCACATCATGAACGGGAACACCTCAGGTGAGTTCCAGTGTGGTCACTAACCACTGACCTTGAGCACGTCACCAAATGTCTCTGCAAGGATCTGCATTTCTTGCCTGACAAATGGGGTTTGTTTAAAAACTGCCCCAATTACCTCAGAGTAATGTTATAGGAGAGTCACGTGAGGGAAAATATCTGAGTACTTTAAAAGGCTAAGTGCTATTAAAATATAAAACTGTCTTGTTACATCAACCACATGGCGTGAAGAATCTTCAGTTCGAGGGGTAGCCAGTCTGTCGGTGACGAGGTTGGAGCTGGGCAGTCGCTGGACAGGTGCCCAGCCACTGACAGCTTGTCAGTGATCTGTGAAAAGAGTAAGTGTTTAGAGATGTATATAGCAATATGACACAGCAATTTTGTGTCTATTGAATATAGTAGCAAAGATTGTGGCTTATATTTGCTTGGTATTTTCTTTTTCATTTCATTTTTAGTCATTTACTTTTCTTACATTTAAAAAAAGTACTGGCGCACGATGGACTTGGAAAAAACTGGCCCTTCGCACAGATGATGTGAGAAGCTGTGGAATGTGAGATATCAACAGTCCAGGAGGTGACTGAAAAATTAAAATGAGTCTGCATATTTTACTCATCCAGAGAAAGGCTGACAGGAAGTAGAAAATGTAAGAGTTCCTTCCAAATGGATGGGTCACTTTTCTCCCAGATGTTTGGCGTCCTGTAGACGCAGAGCTCAGGCTCTGGTGTCTGACCTTGGAGACTCAGTGACTCAGTGTCATTAAAAGGAATATAGATTGGAAGGTTAGGGCTGCAATTGTTGTTCCCAAGATGATGCCAAGGACCACGGGTGCTCCTGGCTCTCTTCCTTGGCTGATGGGACCTGAGTGGAAACTGCCACGAGACTGAATGGCATTCACAAGACTCCGTGGTCAACTGAGGAAAGAGAAAACGCTGATTCCCTGTGCAGACACATCTGACGTGGCTGAGTGCTCAGCAGACAGCCTAATTTCCATTTTGGTATTGATATTTATATATCAATATAATTTTAAAATATATTTTAAAAATATCAAATAGAACAACCCCCACCTCATTTTGGCTTTTCATCCATATTTATTTCTCCAGATGAAATTTAGAATTGTCTATTTCTAAATAAGTTTGCTTGGAATTCTGTTAACTTATATATTAAAATGAATGAAATTAATATCATCACCGTATAAACACATCCCATCCAAGAATGTTATCACTTCATTCAAGTCAGTTAGTTTTTGTAGATTTCTCTTTGTTTATTCTATACCCTTTTGTTAAATGTATCCCTATTTTATATTTTTATTGTCACTGTGCGTGGAATCTTGTCCCCCATTACATTCTAATTCTAATTATTGCTGATATACAAGAAGGCTATAGATTTTAATACGTTTAATGTTTGACCAGCCACCTTCCTGCTCTCTTATTACAGTTCTTTTGGGTTATCCAGATATAAAAAAAAACATTTAGTAACTCTAGTCCTCCTTTCCAATACATGTAACTCACCTGTTTCCTGGCTAATTGCATTAGCTCCTGTATTCAGAACAACGTAAATAAATGAAGACATCCTGTCAGAACATGACGGGCCGCTGGATCTTTCTTTCCATATCAACAGAAACACGGAGCTTTGCAGGTCTGTCCCAGCCTCCTCTTCCCCGCCACTGTTCCTCAAACGCTTGCTGATGGAAGTCAGATCTCGTTCAGATGACCGTGAAAGACAACCTTGGGAGAATTATGCAAGTTGAATGCATTGTCCCCACTTTGCCTTAGCAATACAGTGTAAGAAGGAGAAGGTGGGATCGAGGGACTGACTATATGTATAATCATGAGGTTCCTACATTTTTTATAGCATCTTAATTATCTCAAGAGGGTACCTAACTGAGTCACCGGGCTTCCTAGTTAGGGCTGCGTCAGAGCAATTGCCTCAATTTTACGCCATCCTGTATAGCTCTGCCTACCATGGAGACGGCAGGTGTCCTTCTGAGGTCTTTACTTTGTATTTTATACTTGATTTCAATTCGAACCCGTATTCAAGGTACCCACCCCTGACAAACAAAAGGGAGACAAGATTTATCCCTTGGTTCTATTTCCAACCCATTCAAAAATAGAAGGCAGTCAGAGTTCTCAGGAGCAGACATTAATTCAGCTGGGAGGCTGGGCGCCTGGTTTCCATTGTGACGAGGTCAGGGGAAATCATCAGGCCAGTGTTACCAGCAGAACTGCCCAGGCTGGGAGTCTCGTCTGTTTCCCTTGGTACAGAGTCTGGTTAGGCTTCAGAACTGTCAGCATTAGAAAGAAATTTAAAATCCGAGAATCAAAGAGGCTGCTGTTTCTTCTGCTTACTCTTTTTCTCTGTTCATCAGCACACACCCTATCCTTAATTTCACAGATATAAGTAAATGCGATCATGCTCCCGTGCAGCGGCTGCTGCACTGGGCCGTTGGCTCCCTTCCCTCCAGGGCTGAAGTGCTCATCCGCCCAGTGCTGGCAGTGCTGACAGCTCACAGCTCAGTCTCACCTCCTGGTGATCGCCTTCTGCTGATGGGAGCTGCCTCCCTTCTGGGGGCAGCCCGCCTCCAATGACTGGTCTTCGTCCTAATTTGGGACAACTGTCCAGAGCACTCCCAGCTCTCCTGGGATTGGCAGAGGCCCAGCTTGCTTCACTCCCCCACAGATGTGATCCTGAGGGCACATCCCCTAAACCTCCTGCAGGCAAACCTCCGTCTCAGAATTCCTTCCCGGGGAGCAGAGTCTATATCTCAATCCACTTCTCTGACCTACACACCCAGCTTGAATTTTTTAAGTGTCATTCTTTTGCTTTCTTTTTTTTTGGCCAACTCCTCCCATCTCTTGTCCTGTGAACCAGAATAAGCCCCACTGATGTCTCCCAAGAAAACACATGTTCACAACCTGTTCTGTACCTGCCTGCGTTTCTCTTCTGTTCATTTAGTTCTCTGTGAAATAATCTGTAGTCTATTGCACTCCTCTGTCAATGGCTCTCACCTGGTTTCCAAGCTTTTGCCTCCAGATGGTGCACATCGTTTTATAAAGGTGCATATGAACGTAGGTGCTTTTGCTTCTATGGGATAGACTCCTAAGAGGGGGATTGTGGCTTAAAGGATATGCGTACTTTCATCAAAAGATGTTGCCCGATGACCTTCTTAAGAGCCTGTAACACCATTTCACCAGCAATGTCGGAGAGGTCCCTGCTGCTTCTGTTCCCACCAAAGATGAGAGGCCTAATCTTTGATCAGAACTTCGTTTGGGCCTTCACCATTTCTCACTGCAGACCCAAGCTTGTCTCTTCCCTGAGGAAAGGAAGGAGAGTTTGGTGAGGGGAAGACAAGGCCAGTGGGCTTGAGAAAGTCCCTAGGCTTCCAGGTTGCTCCTTCCTCTACATGCATGAGAAATACGGCGTGGAGACCAGCAGGAGCTCTTCTCCTGCGGGCTAGCCTGGAGCATACGGCTGCACAGGGCTCCCTGAGCAGGGGCTGCTGCGGCAGTCAGCTCCAGAAATGTGAAAGGGCACACTAGAGAGCAAAGGGGGGTAAGGATGGGCCTGGGGAGGAGAGGCGTGCCGCGTGTCCCCCTGCCCTGCCGAGAAGTGTCCTTAGCTAGTTCCCTGCGAGTGCAATTATGCTGCTCTTGTCCCTGAAAACAAGCTGGAAGAGAACTAGCCAGTTACTGATGTGCCCAAAACAGGGAAGATTGAGGTGACTATTCTTAAACTGAGGGAAATCTGTTTAGGATTTGGGGGCATAGGTGTACCTCCTCCAATGTCTAAGATGTCAGATGTGACCTGGCACCTATGTGACCTATATACCCTTCCAAACCGACCATGATCAGTGACGTAGGGGGCTCATTGCCAGCTGGGTGTGGCTCTGCCTGCCTGGTTGGGCACTGGGCATGAAGCATTGCTGATTCTGTCTCTCCCCGTCTTGCCATCATCAGCATCTCATCTCCTCTTTTTGGTGTATAAAATGAGACTGACCCTACGTGCTGTTATTGTAACAGAGAATCATTATCCCAAATAAGCATTTCATAACTCAATCGATTCTTGCCAATTGTTTTAAGTCTTTCTTATTAGCTATGTTAGGCATGCTATTATCTTAATCTTCTTAACGTCCATGTGAAAGTTTGACAAGTCAGCAGAGGATCCTGCCTTAGCTGCCAAGGATACATGATTAGGTTACAGCTCCAGAGCCCCCGCCCCCTAGCAGACTCATCTCCTGAGCATATTTCTTTATAAAAGACCTCGGTCTCCTGGAGTCTGCAGAGGCACAGTGCAGCCATGAGAACAAAGACACTTATGAGGACCAATATCTTGGGCTTTCACCAAATCATTTAATCTGGTGAGAAAATAAGTAAAGAGGAAAAAATAGGGGTGTGTGTGTGTGAGAGACGGACCCCAACCAACCCCATCTGGGAGGCTACAGCAACAATCCAGGCCAGTTCTGAGAGCCTGCAAAATCATACTTTAACAATCTGAAGAAGTTAACACAAAGTCCAGAGGGAGTAGTTGACACTGTGGTCAAACTTGGACCATTCTTTCCCTGAGATCATCTCAGGGTAGGAAAATAATTGGATTTTGGCAGCTGAGATGACTGTGGGCAGAACAGCTTATTTCTCAGTTAATTCCTTAAGTAAACCATCATTTCTGCAAACTCTTGCCCTGGCCACACTGAGAAAGCTTCGACTGTGTTGTTCCTCCAGCCAAACCAGCTTTCGTTTTACCTTCTGGTAACTCCTTCCCTTTCTGTGTTAAAAGAACACTGTCTGACCCCAGAGCTTCACCCTTTCATGGCCATTTCCCTATGGTCCAGACATGTGTCATCCTCACACTCGAGAACAAAGGAGTCCTGACGACCAGGTTTGGGGTTCTCCAGACTGCAGAAGAAAGCAAGGCTCAGAACCGGGTTGACAAGAGTGAGATCATAGAGAGCATCATGACTTCACAGTCATGTTCCTCCAGGTCCTCCCCTTTCCTTGGAAGAAGGGTATCCATGGGCGCCCCAAGATTCGAGGGCAGGTACAGACGGAATAGCTATGAAGCATCTTCTGTCTGGCAGGGACAGCTCTGGGCAGGAGCTGCTATAGCAGTGGTTCTCAAACTTTGGTGAGCACAAGAATGACTTAGGACGCTTAGAAAATGTATAGATTCCCAGCCCCACCCCCAGAAATTCTGCCTCGTGCAGGCTGGAGAGGGGTCCTGTGCTTCTGACGCAGATAGTTGATTGAACTGAGTCTAGTAGAGGCTCACTCTCGCACACACCTGACGTTCTCTTCAAGCATTCGGCGTTTCTTCTCCCTGCGATACCACAATCCACCTCCCACACACACCCTTGGCATTTAGGAATGTGGAGCCGCTATTTCCCTAACGAATCAGCCTCTGCTCAGCTTGCCTGAGCCTTACATCAGGATTTTCAGTATTTCCTCTGTAGACACTTAACAAGAACATATAGGGTTGTCTGTAAGTGGAATGATGGGTGATGGAATTACTGATCTTTCTCTAGGTTTCTATTTTCTGTTAGGCTATTCTTCTGAATCCTGTTGCTGCCTCTTTGCCCATGTTCATAATGAACTCCAAATGCGGGCTCCATGTGTTCAGAAGTGGAATCAGGAGTGTGTGACTTCCAGCCACAGTTCTTTGACACATGATTAAGCATTTTATCTTATTGCCTATTTTTCATTGGTTGTTGTTTTCTTTCTCCATTTATTGAATTATCCATCTTTTCCTTGCCATTTTTTCTTGCGGATATAATTTATAACATAATTTTAAGTGCCAAAGAAAACTCCATTAGAATTATATTTATTAAAAATATGGGATGAATTGGAATCTTTGCAATATTGTTCTTTGCTTTAAGGAAATTGCATCTCTCCTCATTTTCTCATTTTTCACAATGTTCTTCAGGACTTGTCTTGTCTTCCTGTAGCTCCTTTCCCTGGCAGCTCTGTTATATGGATACTACTAGTAGCCATTAGAATTTGCCTTGTTTTGTGGTTGGTTTTTGTCAGCACTGTATTTCTTCCTCTTGTCATATGGTCTTGAATCCAGCAGGGTTTATCCAGGCTCTTGCTTTGCCAGCAGGTAAGGCAGGCAGGCTGCCTGTGGCTCTAGAGGTCCGTGTGGGTGATGGTTCAATCCCCAGGCTCAGATGACAGCTGGAAGGCACCCCCATTCCTGGTGTGTTTCCCAGCTTCAGGCAGTTATTTGTGTAGTGTGGCTCTGCTGTACTGAGATGTGTTGCTTTTGCAAAATTATTATGTGCCAGACACCATAAACTTGACATGCACTACCTCATGCATACAGCCTCATAAGGTAGGTACTGTTATTATTCAAATTTAAAGGAAGAAACAGAAATGGAGGAATCCTAAGATTAAGTGAGGTGGCTCATAGAGCTGCCATGTGGCAAAGGCAAGACTAGGATCAGGTCCTGGGCTCTAACCTGATGTCCTGCATGTGGTTATGACACGGCCCCAGCAAATGGTAGGCGTTCACTTGGGGATGGGCATGGTTGCTGTTTTCAGTGTTTAGGTCAATTGGTTATTAGGCCACTGACCACGAAGACTCAAAAGAACTAAACTTCACACCCTACGGCTTCATTTAGTAGAGAAGAGTTCTACAGCAATGTAGTCACTCTCAAACCAGGAGGAATGCATCATATGTGGCAATGCCAGTATCACAGAAAAAATATGTATGTGAAGAAAGAAACAAAGTCAGTCCTCGGTGTCCTAGGCTTCAGCACCCAGCCCTGGGATCTTACAGCCTTCCTTTCACCAGCTGGTGGAGCTGCTCCCTGGATACAAGAAGCATGGACGTGTTAAAGTGTTCACCACTGATGAAGGATTTATGCGTGACTCCTTCCAGGCGTACGGTGTTTTTGTTTTAATCAGAATAGGCACTAGTGAAGGCAGCTAGCATTCTTGAGCTTAGCGTCAAATCTCCTGGTCTCCCATGAGGGCTCAGAGGCTCTCAGAACCACAGGCGAGTAGGATGTATTTGGTTAGACACCAATCTTCCTCAACAAAAAAGGGAGACAGCCTGGTGATAGGGAGACCCGAGACGGTCTTTCAGCGCTTGTGAGGGAAGTGTTATTATAAGTTGGTTTTACAGATGAGAAAACAAAGTCTCAGAGAGATTAAGTCTGAGTTACATATCACCCAGCTGGCCAGTGGCAGCATGGGATTTGAGTCACCATCTGTCTTGGTCCAAAACCTTTCCGTTAAACCTCAACATTTTCTGTGACTCCAATGAGACATGAAAACCAGAGCCATGGTTTCATCCTGTGGTAGTTCTGTGAGAAGCCAAGTACTGTATAAACATGAGTTATTGTCATAGTAAATCATAATGATTAAAAAGTTAACATTTATTTGGTGCTTGCTATGTGCCAGACGCTGGGTGAAGCATGAGTCCTCTCCTGTCGTCCTCACAGGAATACCATGAGGGGGTTGCAAACCTTGCGCTCCGTTTTACAGATGAGGAAGCTGAGGTTTAGTGAGTTGAGGAAATTGCCCAATGGTACACAGCTGTGTCATCGATACATCCAGAGCCCTGGCTCCAGGCGCAGCACTGTGCAGCGTGCTGGCGAGCTAGCAGAAGGCCCAAGGCCCTGCTGTCTGTCCGGCTAGGCTGATGTGTGCGTATCAGGTGGGCAGGGTCGGGCAGCGTGAGCTGGGTGCCAAGGGCCTGGGGCAGACCAGCACTGCAGAGGTTCAGACCAGGAAGAGATGAGCACAGACTTGATGAGCTCAGTACCTAGGGACCAAGATACTTTTAAGGACTCATGGAAATCTTTTAATCTCCTTAAAATCAGAATTAAAAAACAAACTTTCAGGTCAAAGAAAGTGTATTAATGCACAATACATTCATCTTTATGCCAGCAGAGTCATATAGTGTGATTTTTAATATTTCGTATGGAAGAAGGGGCCCATGAGGGCAAAAGCAGCTAGAGCCACGGAAGTCACCCCATGGCTCTGCTGCTGCATCCTGGATGCAGGTCGCCCCCAGGCCTCAGAGGGCAGCAGAGCCACAGGTGGAAGGAGCTGGTAGGAGAGCTGCCTGCCAGTCAGAAACTCCCAAGTCTAACTGGAAATCAATTCAGAAAGTCATCCCATGAGATGATCGCCTTAGTCAATTACTCTAGCATTCCTTATTTCATTTTCTTAAGAAAAGTGAAGGAACTTATGGTTACACAGTCTAAGGAAGTTCTCAGAGGGAACTTCAACTTGAGCTGAGCCTTGACAGGCATGAAGTACTGGCTCAGCTGTAAGCACCCTGTTTTCATTGTCTCCATGATGAGAATAAGGCCACCTTGTAGGTGGGTTGGCTGTCTCCTTAGGAAGAAGAGGCGAAGACTGCGCTGGGCAGAATGTGTTTCTGATGTGGCCAGTGGCCAGCCCAGCACCTGGAACATTGGAGGGATTCAAGGAATGTGTTCTGTGTTGAACTGAACCGTTGCACCGTGGAAAGCTGTTTCTGCAGCTTACCAAGCTCACGCCCTCATGCAGACACCAGAGTGCAGAACTCCGAAATGGGTTTTCTGTTTTAAGCAGGTATCAAATAGGCAACCAGCTCTGTGCCCAGCATCAAACCAGGACACCTGTGGAAGATACAAGAGAGATGGGAGATTTGGTCCTCACCCTTAAAGATCATTACATCAGAATGGGGAGTCTAAATTACATGACAATACAATTCATATATAATTATGAACTAGATTTTGATTTTTTTCTAAAGAAGTGTCAAGAGTTGTATGAGGGCTGAAGTGGTTAAGGAAGACTTTCTGAGGAGGTAGCATTCACCTGGGACTTAGGGAATCACCAGGACTTAAGTAGGAGGGATCAGAACATTTTGACGAGAATAGCTTATGGCTTGCAGGTGGGGTGAACAAGCCTTTGGGGGATGCAATACCCTAGGATGACCAGTGAAAGTGCTTGTGGGCACTTCACAGGTCAGGCAGTAGGACAGAATTAGGAAGTAAAGGAGATCTGTCTTCCTCCCTACGTGCCTTCCACCTTTTTCAAAACAACCAAACTCTCTCACGTGGGTGTGTGATGGAAGGAAGTATAGTTAAAGGCAGGAAGCAGAAAAGAGAATGAAAGACAAGAAGCTACAGTGGAAAGTGAAAAACAAGCTAGGGGGTGGAGGGTGACGATTCCCAGTAGCCCTTAGTGAAGAGATCTCATAAAACTCTCTTAAAGACAGGGCTCTCTCAGCACAAAAGTGGGGACCGAGGCCCTGAAAGGCCTAGCGAGCTCAAGGTGAAACCTGTGGGTGTCAGTGGTTTCTCTGCAGCATGCAGGCATCACTGTTTTATGCAGTGCTTGAATTCAGAAAAATAAAACGCTGACAGAATGGAGCTGGCATGTTGTTACACTGCTAATTCAGTTCCACGCTGTAAATCTGCTGGCTAGTTTAAGAACTGATGCAATCAAAATCCAATGTCCATTTGGAAATGGAAGCCATTCTCTCTTTCTGTAGAAGATTAAGAAGCAAGCTTACTCATGGATCAGAGAGCCTTGCTGTCTTTTTCCCCAGAAATAAAGATGGGCTCATTTAAGCCCATCTAAGATGGGCCAATTTCTACCTGTTCTCCTGCAATTAGTGTTTAAGTGACTGTCACTGAGTATTAGTCACTCCAAGGAAATGAAATGATGCTATGGTAATTGGCCATGTGGGTTTCTTCCCTTCCCTGGGGACTTTGCTTGGCTCGAAGAGCATTTTTTTACATATGCCCTGTCTGCACTCTTTATTTAGCTAATTAGAAGGCTTAAGGGAATGAGCTGGCATTGGGGTAGAAAGAAAGGAAGAGGAGGGGCAGCATATTACAAGGGGAAGATCACTTGATTGAAACAGAATATCTGGGTTCTAGTCCAAACTAATAAATTTTCTCTTCTCTATGTGCTTATCTTTGACAGCTGTGTTACATACATTATCTCGATTAATCTTCATAATAACCCTATGATGTTGGTATCATGACCCCCTTCACAGAGATGAGAAAAATAAAGTTCAGAGAGGCTGCCCTAACCAAGGTTCCCGAGCTGGAAAGCGGCCGAGCTGGGATGGGCACTCTAATGGGCCTTAATTCCAAGCTGTGGTGTCCATGCTTAGTAGCTCCTTACCAAACAGACCTGTGTTACCTGGAAGAAGTCACCTCACCTTTCTGTCTTCACTTCCTTTAACTGTTCATGATCCCATGAAGATGCTGGCTCTTCTGGAAACTCTCAGGGCCTTTTGTTCTGAACTCACGGAAACTGTCAAGCATCCTTCCTACCTTTCTCTTTTTTTTTGATCCCTGTCTCTTTTTTCCTGCTTTTATACCTCTTTCCTAAACATCCAAACAAGGGCTGGTGTTAACAGGTGCAGGCGTTGAGCAAGGAGGGGCAGGAGAAGGAGAGGGAAGCAGGTCTGTTCATTAGGTGCTGAGTTTTTCAGCCCTGAGCAATACTTCCTTCTAAATGAGCTCAGAGCAGCATGGTACAGGGCAAAGACCCGTGGGCTTGGAGTTTGAGGATTCCGTTTTCAGTTCTGCGACCATCGTATTGTGAGGCTTTGACCAAATGACGGTCTTCTTGCACCTCTGGTTCCTCATCTCCACAACCGTAATCGTAATATACATCAGGGAGTGGTTGTTTCCTTGAAGTCGCAAAAACGTACAAGTGTCAGGTGTAAGTAGTGGAACTGCGGTCCTGCTGGAAGTCTTGGGCCATCAAGTTCTAATCCTCCATTTTACACA